TTTCCGGAGAAGTTATCTCCCTGCGTTCAACGACATCGGTCGATGTTCAAGATAAATCTGAAGACTTTCACATTTATGTGGCCAAATGACGTTCCTGGATGCGTGGAGCAGCCCGAATTCGTCCGTATTTTGGAGTGGTTTCGAACAACCCGAACAATAGAATCAATCAACACGATAACACTGGGAGCATATTGGCCAGGATCACAAAGTTCTGCTGAGCAATCGGAAGTTTTGAAGCGATCTATATTATCTCGGTGCATCCAGTTGCGCACTGCAACTGTTACACCACACCCTTGTAGCGTCGTGGGATGTATGTGGTTCTTTCTTTCTCTCCAATTCCAATTCTGACGATACTGTAACACAGTTGACCTCGCAGCGGCTCATAATTTAGAAACAATTACCTTTTCAATGGAACCTTCGATGGATAACAACACACAATTCCATTCAGCAATCCAAACAATCTTGACGATACACCCTGCACGACTTCGATCTATCACTTTCCTCGTACATAACGTAGATCCTGAATCTACTGTTCAGGGTATCCCTTGGCATTCTCTGTCAATTGCCCTCACACGCGGGGAAAGCACTCCACGATTCGAAAAGCTGACCAAACTACGATTTTTTGTGGGGAATTTGGGGTCTACCAACAATACTTCTTCCAATACTGAAGAGCCCAGGACGAAAGAACCGTATCTCACTCCGCTAAGGAACGCGGCTCAGAATGCATTTCCGGAGCTCTTTGAGCTTGGCCTCATCTCCTTCTGAGCTCCCTTATTGATATTGGTATGTTGCTGCTAGTATATTCCGTTCCTTTCATTCCATTATGATAATGCCAATAGTAACTCTGCCGCTTCTACGAAAATTTTCCAGGATCTATGTGATTCAGTCACGTGCCGCTTGTGTGATCAAGCGCCCAATTTCCAAACTGGGCGAACAAAGGGAGCACGGTTGTTTTTGTTCTCAGACTTCCTTTCGTCAACATTCGTCAACGCAACCACAAAGACATCGTCTCCACGGTAGTTTGAAGTTGCCCAAATTCAATGACAAAGAATTTATTTTTTGCTTTGGACCGAGGTAGATCTCGAGTTGAATTGTGACGTGTATTTTTGGACATCATCCTTTGTTCTTTGTTCAATGTTCCATTCCATCGCACCTTTCCAGATTGACCCGCTCTTCTTTGGCAACGACAATGCTTATAAGGCCCGAAGACCCTGCTATTCCCCCTTCAACTCCCCTTCTCCCCTCTTCTCTGACGTCCCTCTTGTTCGAGCTGTGCTTGAACTTTAACACACTCACTTTCCTACATCCTGTATCCTGATATCTAACGTTTCACATATCCGAACCCGACGAACATGGTTTCTATCAGATTAAGTTCTGCAGTGGTTGCTCTTGCGGCCCTCTCAACCGTTCAAGGCTTGCCACTCTACAAACGAATCGCGCAGGTCATCTCCGATTCAACCCAACAATGGGAAAAAGCTTGTGTAAGTTGCAATTTTTGTTGTTTTGTACACGCCTTTCTCACATCTAAACTCTGTAGGACGCAGCTGGTGGAGGAGAGCAATGCAATCCCATCTCCGTTACAGCTTTCTCGACATTGTTGGCCGCAGCCGGACCTTGCGAGCAACAGAATGCCGCAGATTCAATGATTGATCTTGCGAAGACATTGAATAATGATGCAGATATGATCAAATTTGCCCAAATCTTTGCTCAGCAACCTAGGAATACAGTATGTACAGTAAACCCCTCTCATCTCGAATCATACTGACATCACTGTCCTGATCGCAGCCCACTTCTCAAGCAGTTCCGTATTGCCAACAAGCACCAAAGAACTCTGAACTGAATGGTCTTTTCCAATGTCAATTCCAAAGTGCAGACGAAACGACGTTCGTTGGCGGCCTGGCAGCTGGTTCTAATGGAACTATTCCATTCGGTCTCTCTTCTCCCGTTTCCCCAGCTGGTTCTTGCCCCGCGAATCCTCAAGGTCCCATTGCTGACGGAAGTCAGCTTGTCTCTATCACACAGGATCCTGGTTTGCAGAACATCCAAGGTGGAAGTGATACTGGAAATGCTACAAGCTCCACTGCTTCTCCATCGAGCACTGATACCGGCTCTACCACGGACTCAACTTCCACTGCCACCTCGACCGATTCCACATCTTCCACGGATTCGGTTGCCACTGCGACTTCGACTGACTCCACTGCAACATCGACCGCTACATCAGTAGACTCCGGCTCTGACTCTTCGGACTGCTCGGACGATGGATCTGGGGATGATGATGGGTCTATATCAAGCACTGACGGATCAGACTCATCCGACACCTCCAGCGATGATTCAGGGAGCGACTCTAGTGACGACAGTAGCTCTTCATCCGACGCTGGTTCAGCTACCGCTACTGCCACCGCTACATCTGATGACACATCTGCGACCGCGACCACGACAGCTAGCGCATCCGACTCTTCTTCCACTGCCACTACTAGTGACTTCCAACTTCAGAATGGCAAGGATGCACAGGTTTTGAACGCCAAGTTTGCTACACTTACCGCAGACTCTCCTTGCACCGGTACGTTCATTCAAAATTTGCGTCTTCTCAACAATATTGAAACTAATCCTCTGTCTTTCAGATGGAGACCAAGCTTGCATCGGCAATGGCTTCGCTCAATGTGTCGGTGGAAAATTCGAAGTTACTGAATGCGCCGGAGGGTTGATGTGTGCGGCTCTTCCTCTTGTCAACAAGGCTGGCACATCGCTCTCTTGTGATACTCAAGCAGATGTTTTGGCGAGGATTCAGGCTACTGGAGCTCAGGGTGGAATCACTGGAAACTGATCCGAGCACTCACTTTGATCATGATGATAAAGTTACTCTCCTGACGATTGTTCTACGTGGATAGATTCCCGGAACTCACTACCAACACTGTATCGATAGCTTTACACGATCACGATCCTTATATATTCCTTACATTCCCAATATTATCATTTCTCTGGCTCCAAACTTTCGCGTGACGTACCAATATGATCATGTGATCGCGTTTCATTTAAAATAGCTGCGTACTTTTAGGCTAAGTTATCACCCACTTTCAATCTGGCGACTGCTATCTTGACTTTTGCGATCGGCCACCACCTTTCTAAGTCCTCCTGCTTCATCTGGGTACGGTTCAAGCTCAGAGAAAACCCACCAATACTTCAGTAACATAGATTTCTGAAATTCTCCACTGATGGCGTACCAGTTTCCTCGTGTTTTATTCTGTGGAAGAGACTCGGTGAGTCGATAAAAGAAACTACTACTACGCATCCTTGCAAACAGCTCATGGAGATATACTTATCCTTTTTGAAACCCAAAATTTGAAAGTTCAAAGACGTAGATGCCCAAGAGGGAGAAATCCCATTTTGGACGCAACTTGTTCTTGCAACCAATCGAACTTGCCAAATGCCTGTTGTTCATCTTGATGTCACAGCTGATTTAGCTCCTGGAAGAGACCAGAATGCAATCGCGAATATTATCAGCGAGGAGTCAGAGTATATCACTCTGGATGATCTGAACAAGAATGTACGTACCGACCTCGAGCTCAGAGGTTTTCCGTTTAACTCTAGATCTGAATTAGCTCACGAAATTCGTTTACAGCCTCAACCATACACTTACGCACTTAAGCCCTACCATACTCACCTCATTCTTTCTGGAATCGAGCCTCTCAGTGACATACAACTAGAGCATGAGGATCTTACCACAATTTATGTGCCGACCCTTACAAACCCGGTTCATGCGAATTTCCCATTTGCCCGTCTAGGAGCCAAAGTTTTCATGATCTTGCGAGAACCAGAAGCCAAAGCACTTCTTCAGGAGTTCGAAGGTAGGGAAGGACATTCCACAGGGCAAGGGGCTCGGTTATCCATCGAGGTCTCGTTCGAGCCTTGGTCAAACAACCCGCTTTGAAGAACCTTCGAGGAGTTGTTGTCATTAAAGGGGAAAACGGGACCGAGGGATGCGCAGTGTCGAGCATGGTCAAAGCTATGCCTAAACCAATCCCTTTTTCTAACGGAAAGAACTACCAAGTCATTGATGATGACGAGGACAGCGAGGAAGAGGAGAGAGAGGAGAGATGGGAGTTTTTACTGCCTGCTCCCAAAATTGTGGATGAAGCGAGTCGTAACAGAGATACAAGAGGATGTCTCGCAACTTTCATTAGCAAATTCATTGGTAATCTCAATGCGCTCAAAGATGTTATCTCATGCTGAAGCAAGTTTCGTCTTTCTTAGCCTGTATCGTATCGGGATTCGCTACCATACCGAGATTGGACCCTTACAATGAGTATCAGTTCAGTTTCCAACTGGAACAATGCGTTGTTGTACGTAGCCTATAATGCCACCTTTTTTATTGATTACGGCTCATCGCAGTTATGGTCCTTCATGAATTAGGCGGGTGCTCATACAGCCCTTATTTCACCCGGAACAGGAACCGCTATCCACAAACGAATTCCGACGCTCATGCAGTTTGACCCGGATTTGCGTCGAAACATTGAAGGAGACGCGTTGCTTGGTCCCGGCGCACCTCCTCCCCCACGAAGGATGAACAAGAAGGATGTAAAGAGAAAACCGATGCCAAGGAAGAAAATAAGCTGGAAAGCAGCGGAGTGAAGCAAGCTTCAAAGGAAGATTTCCACTGAAATGTATTCGTAACCCAAGCCAGAATGATCTCTCTGATGCGACCAAATGTATAATGTAAAACTGTAACTTTAGTACGTATCTGCGCATGAGTAACTTTGAGTAGTGTTTCTTGTACCTCTGTCCAAACACGGTCACATGATAGCATATATCCACCAGATTGTCGGTCCCATCCGGTCGGACTATCAACTTAATTATACCGTGTTTAAATAGAGGAAAAGTTAATTCTTCACGTCTTCTTCCCTCTTCCCTCTTCCAACTTCTACCTCGTAATTTCTCTCTACCAGCTCTCCTTCTCCTCAGTTTCATAATACATAGGTTTATGAATGCAATTTTTTATGTCTGTCTCTATAGCTCAGTGGTAGAGCATACGATTGCAGCTTTGGCAGTTATCGTGCGGTCTCGTGTTCGAACCACGATGGGGACTGAATTTTTATATCTATTCTCAACAGTCTTCAACTTGAACGTGCTCCAAAGCTTGTGATTCAAACAGGTCTGTAAATTAGACCATCGCATTTACCCTGAGTTGATAAAGAAAATTCATAGGAAGGACCAAATTGATTACTTCAATTATCACAAGTCTTTCGCAGATTGGGTGACATCGTGCGTTTTTGTAAGGGGCGTCAACAAGGTATGCGTCGGTAAAGAGTTAGGCAGTACTCGCGCCGCCGCCACCATCATCGCTGACCGCGAACAAGTTTAGGGTTGAATGCGTGTTGAGTCTTGAAGTTGTATGTCCTTGTGTTTTCTCTTTTGTTTTACTGGGACTAACCAAACTATCTCGCAAGTGGCTCCATGCTTTATCGATAACGACCGAGTTCGGACCAACATCCCCCAGCCTCCTTTCACCTCCCACTTCCAGCACGAATCCATATTAATGTCATCAACCTCGCAAACCGAAGATGGAGTTCAACAATGCGGCAATAATAGCGACAGTAAAGGTGTAGCCATTGAAGGCGAACTGACGCGACATCCAACGTTATGGTTTCACGATGGTTCTGTGGTATTACGCGCTCAGCAAACTCTATTCAAAGTCCATATATCCCAGCTCTCTCGACACTCCATTTTCTTTCGTGATATGTTCTCTCTACCTCAACCCGATCCATCAAATTCGACTGGTTCTGAGCCAATGTACGATGGGTGTCTCTTGCTCCATCTCGACGACTCTGCAGAAGACTTGGCCCATTTACTCAACGCAGTATACGATGGACCTTTATTCCATGATAATGATAGGAAAGAATTTCCGATGATTTCTGGAATATTGCGATTATCGACAAAGTACTTCATAGACAAGTTACGGAGGAAGACGTTGGAGCACCTCAGTCTGTCATGGCCATCGTCTTTGAAGGGGTGGGATTCAAGAGAGGATAGAGCAAGGATATATGAGATGGAGACAGGAATACCCAAGGCTTTTTTATACCCATCGCCTATAGTGAGCACTCTCTCTTGATTTCGATATCCTCATTTGATCATCATTGCAATTTGTATTCATCTGACCCTTTTCCAAAATCCCCTTCCAGGCGGTCATCAACTTGGCGAGAGAGAATGACGCCCCATCTTTACTTCCAGCCGCTTTCTATGACTTATCGCGATATCATTATACTCAAATCTTCGAACCTGGAGAAGATGATCCGCTGTATCCTTATTCCCCGCATACGTCACTCAGCGCGAGTGACTTTGCTCAACTCAGCCTCGGTAAAGAATCAGCAACTAATTTTATCACCTCACTTATTCAATCTATGGGCCATCCCCCGGCCAATAATATGTCAAGCAATCACCATCCTCCATCAACTATGGCTACTCATAGGAGGAATCACTCATCGAAAGGGAAAGGAGAGATTTGTACCTCAGCCGCCGCCTGTAGAAAGGACTTTACTGAGCTCGTCGACCTCGCAACCCAACATTACCTTTTCGATCGGGAGAAAGGATGCACCGATCCTTTATATGTGGCGGAAGAGCTTGGACAGTTGAAGAGTGCCGAGTTCTCGGAATGCAAAGCTTGCGCGAAGAGTTTAGAGAGATGGGCTTGTAGAGAGAGGGAGAGGATGTGGAAGTTGATCCCCTCCTGGTTCAGGCTGGATCAACCATCTAAACTTGGGAGCTAATTTCTGGAACTCCTCTACTTATATGCTTGAGGTGTGATACTCTGTCGCCATCCACTTTTGTTGCATTTATTATTAATTTTATTCGCCTATAGATTGTTGAGCTTCCTTTTATTGCGCCAATGACCCAGTACGATAACATTTGTATCATATCATCGGACCTTGTATGGATACGTCAACTCTCTACGAAATACTAATATTGTCGTTAACTCTTACATCCTGGGTCGCGGAAACACAGTCCAGATTGAAATGCCAACCACCCATGGCTGGCCGAGTCGGATGGAGCATCTGCATTCTTCCTTCTCGAGGCTCGAGGTCGCTGTCAACCTCTTCGATTGTGCATGAAATCCTCAACAGTATCCGTCTCTGTCCTCTCTATCCATCTACAAACTTTCATTTCTCCAAGCCGATATGACTTCCCTCATAGCATCTGAGGAACCTCTTTCCAATGTTGTCCCCACTGAGATCTGGTTCTCGGATGGAAATATCGTTCTGGTGGCCAGCCGTTCAGCTTTCAAAGTTCATCGTGGTCAATTGGAGCGCCATTCCGAAGTCTTTAAAGATTTATTTGCTATACCTCAACCTATTGACGAAGAGACATTTGATGGATGCTCATGGGTTCGGCTTTATGACTCTCCTTCGGACGTGTTATACCTTCTTCGGGCATTATACGATGGCTTGTGAGTATTTGCCTACGTCCTCACTCGACCAATGCTCAAAAGTCTACAGATACTTCGAGTCAAACCCTTCTTCCAAGGATTTTTCAGCCATAGCTGCTGTTCTACGTCTTTCATCAAAGTACCTTATTGATCACCTCCGTCAACGTTGTCTCAAACGACTCGATCTCGATTGGCCAAGTTCACTTTCAGGGTGGGATCTTCGCGAGCAACTAGCAGCCGAGGCTTCAGGTCGATACAACCCTAGAGAGTGTTACCCTCACCCGATTCTCCTCGTTAAGTTGGCGAGGGAGCTTTCCCTACCTCAATACCTCCCCGCGGCGTTTTACGATCTTTCTCGATATGGACCTCGTCGTATTGTTTCAGGGACAACCCTTCCGGTACCTCTTATATCAGAGAAAGGCTCACCCAATCCACCACTCACCGATACACCTTACAATACGCCAACTCTCTCTCAACCTGCAGAGCAGAACCAATCTCCTCAGAATAGTGATGGTGCAGGTATCGGGACCACGCCTATGACCGGCGAGCCTCTCTTCTTTGGCAATGAAGATCTGTTCACCGTTTTCCTCGGAAGAGAATCAGGTCAACGATACATCACAGGGTTCATTGAAGAAGAACTCGTCTGTCGCAAAGTTTCCAAAGATTGTCGTAATAAACATCTTGACAACAGTCGAGTTTGTCGTGAATCGATGTATTACATCATGCTCAATGTTCTTAGGGCAGTTAGTGGCATATCTCACGGACGTGACGCGGACCCACTTTATACCCTCGCACAAGCTGAGCACATGCTTACACGTACGGATTTCAGCGACGGGGTTACGACGCAATGTGCGTTGAAGATGTGTGTGGTTTGTAAAGGCGCTTTTACGGAGTGTGTTGATAAAGCTCGGAGGGAGGTCTGGGATGTTATGCCAAGTTGGTTTGGTTTGGATATAGAGGAATCGAGAGACCGGGAGACTGGTAATTTTGAGCTGGAGATTCAGGTTGCTGTTGGAGATTCGGCTTAATACGTGATGATTTTTTGATACCTAATTCTTTTTGTTTATTTCTATTATGATATATGCATAATTCTCACTCCCAAGTTTAGAGTGAAGAGCCTTTCTAAGTGTAAACCTTTGCCTTGAGATTCGGAGCCTTCGCGGGCTGTTTGTGATTTGGTCTGGCTAAGCGCCCTCACAAACGCATCTTTCTCTTGAACCACATCCGTCGAAGGTCGGGCAACATACTCAGAGTTACTGAACTGTAGTGAACACTCACCTTCTCCATCGTTCGATGAAATCTGGAAGTCTTTTTTTGTGTCTCAGGTTCGTTTTCCAATGTCCTGTGTCATGATACTGCCGATGGCAACTGACTTCAATTGAATAGAACAACGTCTGAATCTCTGTAGATCCAGCGTTGTGCCGCCTCTGATTCAATACAAGATTTTACAGAAACAGAGTCATTTTACGAGCCATTGCTCGTCAAACTGCTTTTCCATGCTTTTTCGACCATAGTCTATCCGAAGATCGTCGGTTTGCGGACCTTACTCGACAATTATCCTCCATTCTTCCTGCGTGAAATTTTATTTAGGATTCGGGTCTGAACTTATCTTACATTTCTGAGCTTCATCAATGTTCTAATACAGGAAGACTCACACTCCCAGAGGTATGCAGCATGACCATTTCTTACACTGCATGCGTAAGCTAAATTACAAGATACCTACTTCGTCGCAATAGCAATCTTAACAGAAATAAATCTCCCCGCCGATCCCATCTCGCGAAAGGTCTTCACCAATACTATGCGACAATTCATCTCAGCATATGAAAACACTGGTATGTCTCAGCCGCCGTACATCTCGATACAGGTTATACTCCCGACAGAATAACAAACGCAATAGAAATGCAATCTCAATGTTCACCGTGATGTTCAGCAGTCGACAGCTAATTTCATCCCTGCTGATATCATCCATTGCATTCTCGGAGAAGCTCTCAAATGGTGAATGCGGGAAATCGTGTGAGTTACTCTTGTAAAATATTTCCCCAAATATTGCATGCTCAACAACCATGGTGCTAGCAATGACCTCGTGACACTGGTAGATGATGCCGCCATTACCAAGAAATTGAAGAATACATACTATTTTCAAGTAAGATCTACCAAGCTTCTTATGCTGTTCAGACGGTCCGCTTTCCCTCCCGTGTTCCAATTTGGTGTCGGCATCAGCTGTTTTTGGATACGGGCAATTCCTCTTCGATTCATGCTGGACCGAATCTCTCACTTCAATGGAAACCATTCTCCCAAAGCCAACGAAAAGAAGATCCATCCGGATAGAGTCATACAGAAATCGTACCGTAAACATTAAGTTATCTGTGAGTCGCTACATGTTGAGTCCGATCTTCAATTGACTAAGTTTACTCTCCACTGGAAGCTTGAATGAACGGCGGATCTATAGATATTCTACGGATGGGAGTGCAAGTCGAAGACAAAGATAGATGGCGCTTCGCTTTGCACATCAAGCACAGGAATCACCGAAAGAGGTCACTAAACTCACTTCAGTCGCCCTTAACATGGTCACGCGCCAGTGTCGTGGATAGATCGTGTCGACCTCTTGGTATGTGTGAATGTCATCTGCTCGTGGTTTCAATGCTTTATGCTAGTTAGCTCCATGATCACAGACTATGGAGGCATCTCACCGTTCCTGAAGAAGCTCCTCTATGATATAAGTACTGGATTACAGATGGATCGTATTGAACTCGTCCCCCTCCTCTCCTCTACTGACATGGATAAAGTAACTGACGATAACAGCAGTCGCGATGAGAAGGAGAGCCCTGTCGTTGAACTTGTCGAGAGGACCTCAAGGGAGCCCGCCATCGACTTCGATGGCGAGTTACTTCAGCCCGAAAGAAGACTTCTGGCAGAGCGGCAGTTGGTCAGGACCTTGGATATGAGGCTACTTCCTACTATTATTCTCGTATTCATAATGAACTACATCGACGTGAGCACAACAGTCATGTTCCCTCATTCGCGGCTGATTCGTCTAACAACATAAAGCGAACAGCCGTTTCCGCTGCTCGTTTAAAGGGAATACAAGACGATCTTCATATCAATGGTATGTTTAATTCCAAACGTTATTTACTATCATCGATGTTGAACTGAGATCGTTTTGACAGACATCCAGTACTCCACCGTCCTTGCCGTGCTATACGCATCCTATGTCCCAGCCCAGATTCCCTCCAATATAGTCAGTCATCTCTCTGGCTGTTTCGATTTAGTTCAACTACTGACATGCAATGACAACACGCAAGATATTGAACCGAATCACAAGGTGACTCATTTTTTTTCCACTAGTAGAAGATTAGCTATTAACGTTATCGTTTCAGACCATCGTACTATATCCCATTCTGCGTTATCTTATGGGGTTTAACCAGTGCCCTGACCGGGGTACGTTGTCTGTTGTTCGCTTTCGAGACTCCGCAGTAAGTCATGATTACGATAGGTGTCTCGCACCTACGCCGGACTACTTGCAGCTAGAATATTTGTTGGTCTTCCTGAGGTACGATATCACGGACATACTTCCCTGCTTCTGTCTGAACCAATGTGGCTGGATAGGCTGCATTTTATCCAGGTGCAATCTATCTCCTGTCTAGATGGTACACACGCAAGGTGCGGAAAGAGTCGTTAAATTTTTTAATGTTCTTTGACTAAGTATCTACTGGGAATTATTGCGGGTACTAGGAACTCGCCTTCCGATCAGCTCTTCTGTATGGAGGCCTATTGATCTCAAATGCATTCGGAAGTGTGAGTTCTACTACCTTAGTATTAACATGTACAGATCAATGCTCACTCCTCTCATCGGTGGCTCGTAGCTTATGGCAGCCGGAATCCTTTCTGGTATGGAAGGCAAGAGAGGAATTCGAGCTTGGAGATGGTGAGCATCTTACATATAATTTCTGTTAACCCAATTTTGACCAAAGTTGGCCTTCCCTACAGGTTATTCTATATTGAAGTATGTATCCGGTAATTGAATCATACCTCCGTCATCTGAATCTACTTCTAGGGAGTTATCACGATCTGTATTGGCTTCTTCGCCATGTGAGTTCTAAGCATATCTCAGGTGATTGTGATGTTCGTTGCACTAATATGTTGCACCGCCATACAACAGATGGGCCTTACCAGACTATGTAATTGCTTTCTTCCACTATTGATTCATCGCGATTGACGATTCATGATCATGACAGCCCCACAATACCAAATGGTTGTCACCTGCTCAACGACGATTAGCCCAAGTTCGTCTTGCGGAAGATGCAGGAGAAGCAGATGAAGATTCAAAACACGAGTCGTACGTACTGTTCATCGTTAATTCGAAGCTTGCTGCTTACCTGTAGGTGTTCCAGAGTACTCACTGGACTAAAAATGGCTTTGAAAGATCCGAAAGTATCAATATTTGCTGTGATGACTTGCGCTCAATTGCTGGGTCTGAGCTTTGTGAATTTCTTCCCAACGTCGGTATCGTTCTTTTCATACATGAAATTGACATTGACTAAGCACATCATGCAGACTGACGGCTACCCTTGGTTTCTCGACGACTATCAGTCTTTTACTCGCTGCGTAAGTCTCAATTAAACCCGTAGAAAAATATTGTCATATTAACAAAAATCATAATTTCTAATTACTCTCCTTCTAGACCACCTTGGATTCTGGCAACAATTGTTTGTTGCGTGAATGCATATCACGCTGGTAAGTCTTTCCGCTGCTGTAGTCAATGTTCATGCGACAAATCACTGAATACTGTATAGATCGAAGTGGGGAACGATTCTGGCATATAGTACTCCCATGGTGGGGTGTGATCATCGGATATATCATCGGAGTTTCGACAATGTCAATAGCTGGACGATACGTGGCAATGTTCCTCATGGCCTGCGGGTATGCTGGTATGGACATTTCTCTGCATCATCATTATCGCATAAATATGTACTTACGGGTTAACCTACAGGCTTCGCTCTCACTCTAGTTTGGGTATCAAATGCCATTCCTCGACCTCCTGCCAAGCGATCCGCAGCTATTGGTATCGTAAATGGATTCGGAAACTTAGGGAACCTGTGAGTACTCAGGCGTAGGGAGCCTGTTTATTACGCTTATCACTAATCAATACTTTTTGTAGAATTGGATCTTACGCATGGAAAAGTCAGTGGGGTCCAGACTACCATCAATCCATGTACATCGGAATCGCCTCACTAGCTCTAAGTTCTGTCCTTGCATTCGGTAAGTCTTCCGTCACCCTCACCATGTCTTACTGCTAATTCTCTTCCATGATGGTATACAGTAATACGGTGGATGCTCGTTCGGCAAAATGCTCAACTCGTCAAAGATGAACTTGAAAATTTAAAAGGAGCGAAGAGGGAACGTATTGAAGAAGCTGCAAGGTTGGAAGGACTGACATTCGAAGAAGCTTTGGAGAGAAAGAAGGGGTTCCGTTATTTGTATTGATAATGTGGTTTGTTTGATTTTTTTTTTCTCTGACGGACCGACCGATGGAATACGTGTAAAACAGACTACCTGATGTAACATAGCTCAATTAAACAGTGAAAGTTTGATTGTCGAACATGCTAGCTATAACATTCTCTACTAGTACAATCCGAAATATTCTTCTTCCGAGTCTCGGGAACTATGGATACGATTCAAAATCTAGAGAGGTAGATAATGTTTAGGCAAAGCGGAGGATACCTCGTTTCTGCGTCAACGGCAGCTGTTTCGTTATCAAGGCTTTCTGCTCTTGATCTAAACCACAGCTCGCCTTATGATACTTTGAACGCTTCGTCTTTACTTCCTTCTCTCGAACAGGGTCATCAAAATCATCTTCACAATCCACCCAATCTTCTTCAGAGTCACCGTCCTCAGGCTCGGCGTCGTCCTGTACCTCAGGCTCATTATCCTGTTCTTCACGGTCACCGTAGAGTACTAGATTCTCCGCGCTGAAGGTCACGTTCTCCAAATCCTTCATCTCCTGAAGATTATCATCCATTAACGGCCATCTATGACTCGTATTTTTGAGAAGATCTGTGAGTGTTCGTACGTCTTGTTTTCCAACGTCACCTTCCTTGAAGATGAAATGGAACGATAATCGTTTAAGCCTTTGCGGGAGAATGAAAGTGACGTCGAGAGCGTTCAGAAGATGCATAAATCCTGCTACAGAACGCCAGCTCTCCATCTCGACAGTATAAGATAACTCAACCACGTTATCGCACTCCGGAAATATGCGACCAAAGGTTTGAGCCTCTGTTTTAGTGAAAAAATACAATGTATGAGATATGGTCACCACATTTGATAGAATGGAGGGAACTTTAACTCACGTCCTGTCTCTGCATAAGCCGTTGTTCGAAGTCTGAGAGTTTGAACATTCTTGCGATTCTCTTCGACAGATAAGTAGGCCTTCATTGTTGAGCAAAGCGGAAAGCCTAAATACATTTCAATAGTGGTGGGTTTGACTGAGACGGGAGTACGACATCGAGGATTTTTGCAAGATAAATCAATAATGTTCGTATCTTGCAAAATGAGGGTCGTAATGATGTGAGGTTGTACCGGTGTTTCGTTTTCTTCAGCAGGGTGTCGAGCCTTAGCGTGATCGAGTCTATCATTGGGTGTCTTTCCTGGTGGACCAATTGAAGTAGGATCGATTAGACCTGACACATGGAGTGTATGAACCATAGGAAGACCACATAGAATCGCACGCATTACTTCCGGATGGAGAGAGGATTTTTCCGAGAAGTTGAACAATCCAGAAGATGATTGAGATGGGGAAAGTCCGTATCCGTCAAGATGTAATACTTGTACGTCACGGTGGAAGGAAGGTTTGGTTCTAATAAAGTTCGCAAGGGCTTTAAAGCTGAAGGGTTTCGGGAGGCCAGTAACACGGAATACATGAAAGAGATGGCGACGAGAACGATGATAAAGAGAACGTCCCGCCAAACAGCATTGGCTTAGGGTCGATTTATCGTCAAAAATCCTGTCTATAATCTGGTCAAGAATTTCTTGAGGAAGACTCTGATCGTTGTCGCAATGGATCTCGGTTGATACAAGTGATGCAGCCGTCGATGTGTTTGTACTGTTCGTTCTGAATCGTCGTCAGTCTTTGCGCCAGCTGAGCTGAAATTTTTCAGCTACTCACAGGTCAAACTCGTTGTCCATATTTAATGAAGGTGATTTGGTCGATGAGGTGAAGTATAGGTGAGTACTGGTCCTGAGAGTGGTCGTTTAACGTCGAAATGTTTGAGTAAGAAGCATCCGTTTTCAAAGACCATTAGACAGGGTTGTCCTTGTCTTCCGCACTGTTTACTTGTTTTCCAACTCGTATCAATGTCGTTTATCTTCCGTTTCTCGACGATCAAAAATTGTGGCTAGGCAGGGATGAAGACAAGATAGAGATACAAGAACATTACCGCAATTGATGTTTACTACCGTCCTGTCGGCAAATTGCGCACAGCTATTGTTTTCTTTGAATCGTGTTGAAACTTTAAGCTTTATTTCTCGACGAATGCTTGTCGCGATTTTCTACAGGAAAAATATAGTAACGTAATGACAGACTTGAACCATGTCGTAACTTTTCGTTGAAAGATTATTTGAATAATGGTGAAGGACACCTACTTAAGTCACAAAACTCCGATACGGGGAATCGAACCCCGAGCTACCGCGCACTCAACGAGTGAAAGGCGGTAATGTTAGCCGTTACACCATATCGGATGTTGAATCATCTGTCCAACATTACTAACACCCAAGTTCAAAGCGAGAACAATTGAAAATGATTTATTCAAACAGATCTATAGACAAAAGACGCAAAGAAAAAATAGTCACAAGTTAGAATTCGTTGTGGGGATCTCCTGCAAAAATTCGTTGAGAGGATCTCCTACAAAAACCTCCCCGAATTTTTTCAAAGAAGGAAGGTTTGCCCTAAACATCTGATGAATCTTTGGGTCATCATTTAGGGAAGATTCCAATGTGATCCTGGGTTTAGTACTACGTATATCAAGGTTCCCAACAGTCTTATAACGTAGCCAGATGCTCAACTCGTGGAACATTTTGAAAGACTTATCTAAAGCTTCCCAATTGAATATACCTTGGCTGAGTTTTACCCTAATGGTTCGCTTCTCGAGGTTAGTGAAATTGATAATCAAGAGGAGATTCCGATTGTTTGGGGATGTCGAGCGTGAGGAACGTTTGGGAAGAGTTCGAAGCATGCTGGCGATGTGAGTTGTCATAGCATAGTAAGCCGCTTCATCATTGTGCATTGGTAAAACTTCAAAAATAAGTTGAACTGTCTCGAGTTGCATGCAGTTGGAGAGATTGATGATATATGGTTCTTGATGTATGGGAACTTTAATGAATGAGTTAAATTCAGAATGAATAATTGACGACTGGAAGAAGGAATAATACTTACCTGGAACATTAAAGGAAGGGTTCAAGAGTGGTGCGTTGAAATAAAGCATTCTAGGAAGCATCATAGTCAACTTGAGAACCCTCAGCTGTTGCCCTTTATCTGATACCAGCCTCTTGATACCCCGGTGAGAATTCCAGCCACTGACATTGGCATCAATGGTAAACGACTGCGAAGAAGAAACCAGAGCCGAAAAGTAATCGAAGGAGGTTACACGACCACATGCTTTCTGAGAATCGACATGGATACGAAGGGCCTCCAAAGATAACGATTGTTGTGGCCAGCCCTTAATCTGGGAGTAAAGTTCGAGTGCCTTTAGTTCAAGAACATCCACGTGCTCGAATGTATCCAACAAATTGAAGAACGATTCATAGCGACCATGCTGCAAGAAATCTTGAAAGTTTACTGTATCGAGTAAAGCGAGATACCGAAGACGATAGCGACGGCGAGGTTGAGATGCAGGTGGAGGAACATTTGGTGAGGGAGGGAAGACATAAATGCAGACACGTTCCAAGCGCAAGCCTTGGAGCTCTGGGAGTAGACTAAGAATATGCTGGAGGTGATTGAGAGCCATCATTGAGTGTCGCGTGTTGTTCTTCATCGGAGTAACCCGAAGCTCCCTGATGTAAGACGGGGCACACCGAGCGGTCGCCAGAAATGTAACGAAACGTATCAGAGGATGGCTACCACTAGAGCCGGGCTTTGAAGAAATTCGTGGTTTTTCTTCGTCTTTCCAATTTAGTGGACGCTCCTCAGGAATTTCCAGCGAACATCTACGGTATAATCTCGACAATGCAGGGTGAACAAATTGACGAGAGGCGAGAGAGCATGAAATCAAGGTATTGGTGTGGCCTTCAAGATAACCAAAGATACGATTGATGGTCTCTTGAGGGAGATGTCGCCCAGTAATCCGAATTGAATTGCGCATCGTAGTCGAGTCAAGTTGGGAAATGAGAGATAAGAGATGAGAAAAATCAGGAGCGTAGGAGTAGGAACTTGGAGGATGAATAAGACAAGGTCAGACCCTTCCGCGTATAAATACAATTTCAGGTTCTTTGTTCGAATTGGCTGTTGGACAATTTGGTTTTCAAATTATGTGGCATGCGTCATGATTTCCTGCGGAAAATGCATCAATGGTAACGAACAAAACAAAATGTAAGAACATACTTACTGGAGTTGCCGGCCAACTTGAGTAAGTACATTGCTCTTAGGGATATATCTAAGATTCGAGGCAAGCTATCCAAGACAAACATAGGACATCGGTGGAAAGATGTAGTTTATGATTCGGATTTGATGCCAACGGTGGTGCCCGGCGTACGTCAAGTCTAGCACGTTGTTGAGGAAGCTAAGTACAATTCATCTATAAGGCCGAGAAGTGTGTTTATATTGTAATCCCGTTTGGACAAAGCAAGGAAGAAGTAGAAGTTGGAGGAACGAGGGAGGGAGGCCACTGCGTTATTGTGCCACTGCTATGATGGCGGCTTGGTCACGTGTATAGCGTGACTTACTGCACGTAAGCTGGTTTGTACGAGAACTAATTTTTTACTCGCTCGAGCTATCGGGGTGGAGGGTTGGCGTTCTATGGCAGGAAAATCGTATGTCAAGGATGCTTTCAAAGTATGCCGAATTTGCACCAAAGAGTCTCAAACGACTTTCACTCCATTTCATTTTCATGGAAGGTGGCGCAGGTCAGGAGGATGTTTCTACCTTCGATGATTTTCTCTGCTACTCCCGCCCCAGTTGGACAGACGGCGGTGATCGTCATCTTGTGTTGTTGAAAGAATTGGAGGATGTGACTTTTAGTGGGGAGATTTGGACCCTCGAAGCAGAGTACGACATGGACTCGAAGTACGAGAGCAAAGGCTTCCCAGGTTCTGCGCATAAACCACGTACGTTCCAAAGCTGTGTAAAAGAGGCATCATACACTTTGCCTAGGTAGCGTTGTAGAAGAATAGGCCGCGCGTTGGTAGATCCGTTTCGAGGTCGGAACCCGAGCGTGTGTGAGTGTACGAGTAGAGCGAGAAATAACACCCCGCGTTAGCGGCGAGAGCGTTTCTTGAGGTATTGGTAGAGTTGTCGGGGAAAAAAGGAGGAGCTGTGGAGGGAGATCTTGAGGGAGGTAGAGAAACTGGTGTAAAACTTAAGATAAAACTTCAATAAAACTTCGATAACCGTCGCGTTAGACGGGATTCAGCACGCAGTGGACTTTCCGAGTCAAATGGTTGAATAGGGGGCTCACTACCGCGAACGGCGGGCTAAGTACAAACGGAATTGCGGCACGCGTTGCTCATGCTGCCGCCTCCTTCTCGGGTAGCCAATGAAAAACAAAGATAAAATCAAATAAACCGAGATAAAGAATGAAAAACAAAACTGCCGCGCCATTGACATCACCAAACAAACTGAAAGGAGTAACTCACCTAAGGTTTCAGTAGCCTCATGCTACGGACAATTTCTCGAGGGAGAAATACCGGCGTGACGAAAGTACGATGAGCTCCCCTCATAGCTCCACAACTGTCCCTGGTTGTGTGTACAGTGCTCGGCACTCTCGACCTCTACTTTCCGCGTGCATTTAGCTACTTTCACCCAAGGCAAGCCTGACAAAAATGAAGTGAAAGAAAAATAAAGGAAAAACACACGAAAATGAAATAAAAAGGAAGACACCGTGTGCCTCAACCATCCGCCGAGCCCGATCCTTCGAAGACAGTAGAATAATTCATTCTTGATGATTCCAGAGTCTTGAGGAATTGCGGTCGCGAGTGCTTAAGAAGTTAGGGCATCTTGAAGTTAGTTGAGGTCGTCGTTGAAGGTGAAAGTTCGTCGTCGCGTTTGAAGCTTGAAGGCGCTCGATTCTTCAACCCGCTTCTTCTGGTGTGATTAGTGACCTAAATAAGAAACAAGGAAAAATTAGTATTCGACGAGTGAGCTTTCTCACTCTACCACAGCGTACGAGTATGATGTCGGCTATGTTGAGATGTATACTACCATAGTTGTATTTCGAACCCTTGTAGGGTATAGCGGGACGATAACTACAAACAGAATAAAAACCAAGAAAATTCAGTACATACATTACTATGCAGCTACAACAAACTCCAGATCAAACTAAAGATAACTAACTATACTACAAATCTAGGGAAAAAAATCAAAGTATCCAAACTTTACTGTCCAAATGCCTGAACACCGTCAAAGAACTCCTCGACTGACACCGAATCAACATGCGCTTCAAGAAACTCTCGTTGTACACCAAGAACCATAGCTTTCAACTCCGCTAATTCCGTGTTTCTCTTCGATATCTCTTCTCGCGCTTCCAACAGTTCTTTCTCCAAACTTTCTATTCTTCGTAGTAGCAAAGTGTCGTTTGGAGAAGTTGATGATGAATACGGCATGTTCGGAGAAAGTGTCCCAGGTGTTGACCTAGGAGATGTGTCAGGTGGCGGTGGGATCGGGTCAGTAGAGCTAGTCGTGATAGTTGGTTCCACAAGTACAATATCTGGTACAACGGCGTCTGATTCTCGTCGATCCGTTGAAGGCGGAGCAAATGAAAGAGTCGGAGTGTAAATGTGGGTATTAGATGAAAGAGGTCCTGGGATCGTAGGAGACGGTGAATCACTATCTGGCAGAGGTATATCAACAGGATCGACAACAGCGGGCAAATGATGATGGTCGTTCGTTGATGATTCCAAAATATGAGCAGCAGTGGGTGGTTCTAAATGTTGATCATGATCATGATTCGTCCGACGGTCATTTTCATGAGAAGAGTCTGGCGGCGTAGAATCAGATATGCCAACGCTAGACAACCAGTCACGGGTATTCGTCGAACTGAGAATGATAGTGGGTTGAAGTGGAGTAGCAAGTTCCATGGATCGTTCTTCGGCATCTGGATCATCCCAAACTAACACCTCTTGGACGTCGGATTCAACAGTTGGACCAGTATTGACAGATGGAGAAAAAGGGTCCGAAGGTGATCTTTTTGGATATGCATTTGAAGACATAACATCAGTCTGCGGGGTTGTCTGAGTTGATTTCCCTGATGAACATAAATAGAGGAGTTGTCAAATCCGGTCATTGATAATTGGTAAATTTTAACATACCGATATCTTTGTCTTCTGGGGCCATTCCAGCAAGGTCCGGCTTGGGACTATCACCCTTCTGAGATACCAACACGGGGACCCTGTGATTCAAGCTCAGAAAAAACTCCATCTGGTTCAAGTGTAACAATCAAAAGCGGGCCTCACCTCAAGGTATCCTCTACATCCATAGACTCATCATTGTCGGCGGAACACATCCCCTCATCGGCCTGCTTGAGATGAGA